TTCTTTTGTGTTTCTGTTCTTAACTTTATGATGATGTTAAAAGCAATGAGAATGGACTTGGTATAATGACAAAAGGGCCAACTCTGCCAGAGATAATGACAATCCTAAATATACATGCAGCCAAGAGGAGAGCACCAGGAAGGAAACATTAACAGAAATTTAGTACCCCAGTCTCAGCAAAGGACAGATCAGGTCACCCAAACACTGAATCAACAAAGAAGTATGAGAGTAAGATCGCATCCTTGATCCCGTAACCCTCACAAATGCCTACCCAACAGTCTACCCTTCGCTCATCAGCCTGTGAAACATTTTCAAGAATAGATCATGCATTGGTCAGAAAACAAGCCTCAACAAATATAAAGTCATTGAAATTATTATCAAGTATCTTTGCTGACCACAATGTAATCAATGACAAGAAAAGCTTTTTGAAATGAATGAAAACGGATACATAACAGGATGAAACCTGTAAGACAGAGCAAAAGAGGAATTAATAGGGAAGTTTATACCACTCAATGCCTACATCAGAAAAGAAGAAAGATCGTGAGTTCCCGTCGTTTGTGATCACATGGATGCCAACAGAGGTTATTATGTTAAAGAAAAGAAGCCAAGTACAGAAGGCCAGGCCACCTACTGTCACTCGCATGTGGAATTTAGAAAGCTCATGTCAGAGAAGTTGAGAATGGAATGGAGGTTATGACAGCCTATGCTGCAGATTTCTGTTAAATCCATTTGCTGTACAGTATAGCTTAACCCTGATATTTTTCAGTTGAATTTTGGCATGGATGTCCTATTGGTGAATATATGGTATTTACTTCACTCTGTTATTGTATTTGTGTGTATATATATATACATATATATATATATATTCTCATATAGCATCTATTTCATGAAATTAGTACATGAATATTTGGTTCATATTTGTTTACAATATTATAAATTTTTATGTAATGACATTCTTTGTCTCTTTTAAATATTTGACTTAAAGTCTGCTTTTAGGTTATCACTATAGCTACTCTTGCTTGCTTTTTTATTTCATTTGCTTGGGATAAAATATTCCATTCTTTCATTTTCAGTCTTTGTTACTGCAACAGATAGGATTGTGTCACCCGTCCACCTAAGCAGTAAGAGAACAAATTACAGTGATGAATTTTATCACAATATCTTTGTATGGAATATCAGTGAAAGACTAAACAACTCGGAAGAACTGTACCTCTTCCTCTGGCAAAGAAATTAGTGTGGTCTGGGTTATATATAGAATAGTTATATCATAGTAGGCAGAATTACAGCTTGGTTACTAACTTTTATAGATATAATGTACTGTTTCAGGAGGTGAAAATAGGTACCAAGTTGATGTGGGATGAACATACTCATAAAATTGAAATGATTCCTTTCATCTATCTCCATGATTGGGCTAAAGGATGCAGAGGAGCTGATGAACACCATTTCTGGGCACATCTGTGAGGCCTCATTTCCAGGAAACATTAGCATTCGAAAGAGCACACAGACAAGATCACCCTTCTTTTTTTATTTTAAAAAGAAAAAACTAAAAATAAAATAACAATAAAACAGAGTTTCAAAACAGGGTAACAGGAGAGTGACTCTTCAAAAGAAAAGAGAAACTGGCGAAGATAGCCCTTCTTAATGACGGTGGTCATCAGTCCAACCGTTCAGGCTGAGTGGAGCAAACGGCAAGCAGGGACAGTTTGCTATGGACTTGAGCTTGCCTGTCTTCCCCACCACCACATATTGACCTTCGGATCCCCTGACCTTTATTTTCAGACTACAGCCTCCAACTTCTCAAGAGTTTGGTTGGACTGGAGACACACGCAGTCTTTCTTGGGCTTCTAGCCTGCAGACAGGAAGTCATCGCATTTCTTAGCCTCCATAATTGTAGGAGAACTTCCCTCATGTAAACTTCTTTTTCATCCTTGATTATTCACCTGTGAATAAAATTGCCCCTGAGAATTAGTGAGCAACCTTCAGGCACCTTGTTAAACTTTCAAATACTTTAAGGACAACAAATAAATTGTCATCTTTTCCTTAGGGAGCTGCAAGTCTCAGAAGATGTTTTGAAGCTCCATAAATTTTTCTCCTTATGCCGTGTTAAGACTACACACCAGACCCAGGATAGAGACTTCACTGCAGGTAAACAGCGAAATGTTTCATGTGATCCCATATGTGAGATACTGATAATTGTTCAGTGATGTTTGTAAACATCCACTTTAATTTGATGGCAAAACCGTAGCAAGATATGAGGATGTTTTATTGTATTCTCCCTGCGTTCTGCCACTCAATAATGCTGGAACAAAAATAAGTCTTCTCTTATTTTCTTATTTTAATATTTTAATGTTTTCATGTAGGTTGACAAACTAAATACACATTAATGTCTTTGAAAAATCACCACAATATTACTTCAGAAATCTTTAAGTTTTTTTTATTTTATTTTTTTAAATTTTTTTGGGGGGGGGCGGTTTTCCCAGTGCCAGGAATTGAACTCACAACCTTGTGCTTGCCAATCAGGCGCTGTGCCACTGAGCTAAATCCCCAGCCCATTTTTTTTTTTATTTTAAAGAGAAAAAAACAGCAACAAAGACAAAAACAAAACAACACAAAAACAATATTCTGCAAACGATACAGAATTTCAAAACAAGATGATAGGAAATTAACAATGATTGTTACCTTACATATTGTTATATGTAACAATACATAGTTGCTCAGATTGCTCAGATGTAAGAACACAAGATTAATCAAACAATTAAGGAGAATAAAAAATAATTTAAAAATCCACAACAATAGTTGGGATAATTGTACTGTTGATGTCTACAGTTAACCCTTAAATTTTTTTGACCAATTTTACATGCTTATATCTGGTAATCTGAACAACTAATTTAAGATAACAATATGCAGCATAACAACCATTGCTGAATTCCTTCCATCTTGTTTGGTGAAGCTCTGTGTGTTTTCTAAAATCTTTAAGTTTTATAAATACTTCTATCTTTAAAAGAAGCCCAAACTGACACTAAGTGAAACCTAGCTAAAAGAACATGTTTATTTTTTATTTGTTTTGTCTCTTGGGAGAATTATTAACTTTGGGGATTGTGTCTCTCATTTAGATGTCCTTCTATACAAAGTTATTTAGTTGCTATAGGAGTTTTGTGACCTTCTTAAAAAGAATTTAGCATAAAATGTAACTACTTGTAACTAGATTTATAGATCTGCTTCCCTCTCACATCTTGAAGAGTAGAAACAGCCTCTCTCAACTTCGGTTATGAGCAGCAGGACTTGGTAGGGACCCTGAAATACTCAGTTTTACATTTTTCATACAGTGTTCAGAATGTTCTTCAATTTTCAGCAGGATATATGAAAATTAGACATAATTTTTTCCAAGTACAACTTGAAAAGTAATACTAATCAGTAACCAAAGCAGACAATGACCAATGAAAAAATGTTCCTTTATGTCAAACTTTAAAACTGGTAAAACACTTTCATCTTTCATTTTTATAAAATGGTATTTATCATTTACAATTTAGTTTCTTAAACTCGGGGGACCAAAAAATAAAATTCAACACAATAAAAACCACTAAAATTAGATTTATACTATATTTTATTGTAATTACTGCAAGTAACTCTCTAAAAATGTGATGCACATAATCATATTTCCAACTAATGACAGGTGTATGCATTGAGGTGGATAAGAGGACATCTCTTCCTTATATGCATTATTTATACTAATTTACATGCTATTTACATATAATCTACATTTGATGTGGTAAAGGTGTTTTTCTTTTTGCTTATAGGTAACTCAGATGTACCATCATCATAATTTTCATTATATTTAACAAGTTTCTTTCCTTCTTGCCTGTCTTTTTTTATTTTAAAATGCATTGGGCTAACAATTTTTAAAGTTATGAGAAATATATGTAGGATAGATAGGTAGGTAGATAGATAGATAGATAGATAGATAGATAGATAGATAGATAGATAGATTGAATTACATAAATAGTTTAATTCTCTGTCCTACCCACCAAATAACCTACAAGGACATATTCATTATATGTATGAGAACAGTGAGTTTTAAATAACTTACATTATTAACCCAGACAACCCTTGTGTTTACTACAAATTGAGTAGAGTTTTGATGATGTTCACTCGCTCGTATATTCTGATATGTTTTGTCATACAAATGCAAGTACTGCCTACAGTGGCGTTTTCTTATTGAGATCTCTATCATGTATTCACATGTCACCATTCATTGGCATAAAGGCTTGAATAAGTTTCTGTTTTGCCTGAGGAATTTCTATACACTTTTGTAAGTATTTACATTATTGAATTATTATACAGTATCCCATTATTTTAATAATTTGTTAAATATCATGATGAGATAGCAATTATATTGAAAAACTCCAATTATAGTTGAAAACCTTCAAAGAATAATATAATTATAATCTGTATATGAAACTCTCAAGATTTTAGCACTGCTTCAACTTTTTAAGTTTTTTGAGGGCTGGGGACATAGCTCAATGGTACAGCACTTACCTGGCAGGCACAAAGTTCCGAGTTCGATTCCTGGTACAAAAAAATGTTTTTTGATTTATGTATCTATCAATCTATCTTATTATTAGTATTTCTAAATCTTAAAGATACAAATATTTTAGGCTGGAAATTTACCATAGTATAGTATTTTAGGCTAGTCTACTGGTCTCTAATCATTAGTTCAAATAGCAACACACCTCTCATTTGTGACAAAAATACATTCCTAGACATGGGCAATGATCTTTGATCAGTAAAATCAAACCCAACTAAGAATCAGATATTTACCTCTGCTCTGTTAATTGCACCTACATGTATTAATATGTGTAAGTCGAGTTCGTATTCACATAAATGTAAGTAGAGAAATTTGCATGTGTCTTGTTATACTAGCCTGGCGTGCACAAAAGCATCTCAGGTGATAATACAGGAGAACTATTGATATGACTACATCTCTATCCCAAATAGGCTACATGGAAAATAGCAATCTCACAACGATGAATGAATTCATTCTGCTGGGCATCACAGACCGCCCTGAGCTGCAGGCTCCACTGTTTGTGCTGTTCCTCGTCATCTACCTGACCTCACTGGTGGGCAACCTGGGCATGATCGTGCTCACCCAGGTGAACTCCAGGCTGCAAACACCCATGTACTTTTTCCTCAAACACCTGGCTCTCACTGATCTTGGTTATTCCACAGCTGTGGGGCCTAAAATGCTGGTGAATTTTGTGGTGGATCCAAACACAATCTCCTACTATTGTTGTGCCACACAACTTGCTTTCTTTCTTGTGTTCATCATTTGTGAACTTTTCATTCTGTCCGCAATGTCCTACGACCGCTACGTAGCCATCTGCAGGCCTCTGGTCTACACTGTCATCATGTCCCACAAAGCATGTCGAATGCTGGTAGCAATTCCGTACCTTTACAGTATATTTGTTTCCCTTCTAATCACCATAAAAATTTTCACTTTATCATTTTGTGGTTACCAGGTCATCAGCCACTTCTGTGACAGTCTCCCCTTGTTATCTTTGCTCTGCTCAAATATGTATGAAATTGAATTGATAATTTTGATCTCAGCAGGTTTTAATTTGGTTTCCTCTCTCGTGATACTCCTTGTCTCTTACCTGCTCATCCTTGTAGCCATTCTCAGGATGAACTCCGCAAAGGGCAGGCACAAAGCATTATCCACCTGTGGGTCCCACCTGACCATGGTCACAGTGTTCTACGGGACTTTGATATTCATGTACGTGCAGCCCAAGTCCAGTCACTCCTTTGACACGGACAAGGTGGCTTCCATATTTTACACTCTTGTTATTCCAATGTTGAATCCCTTGATCTATAGCTTGAGGAACAAAGACGTGAAATGTGCCCTAGACAGGATGTGGAAGGATGTATGCAGTGTTTTTTCTTAATGTTTATAGGCAATATAATTCTTTTTTTTTTTTTTTTTGTCTTTTTGAGACACGGTCTCGCTATGCAGTTCAGGCTGAACTTGAGCTCACTTTGTAGCCCAGGCTGGTCTCGAACTCACAACGATCCTCCTGCCTCAGCCTCCCAAGTGCTGGGATTACAGGTGTGTGCCACCACACCCAGCTAGGCAATGTAATTCTTATATGTCAGGTAGATGATGGATAACAATACTTGATCTCTTTATCCAGAGTATTCATATTTTTTATATTCTGAATACTTTTAATGATTCTAATTTGGTTAATTTTTTGAAAAGTAGAAATCTCTGTCTCCCTTGATAAATTAGTTGTCAAAATATGTCAATTTTAGAGTAGAGTGTGATTTGGGCGTGTTGAGCAAAGGAGGTGTGCAAGGAGAACAGCCATGTTGAGTGAGATAGGGTCAGTGGTAGAAGCAGAGGGAAACACAAAGGTTTGTTTTTCTCACACATATGAATAAAATTTCCCATGCTGAGTTTCTGCCTATCTGTGTGTTGTTTCCCTATAACCTTTTTTCTTTGGTTTCAGGCATTTATGTGGTATAATTTGGAATTCTACCTGACATGAGTTGTTTATCTGATATGTGAAATTTTCAAATCATCAAATAAATATTCTTAACGGCAGCTCTTCCAGCCTGGGGCTCTCACTCTGTCCCCATCAGCCGCCCACACACGTCCATTAGTTGAACACATTTTATGATTCCGTCATCTGTGGGTCTTTGCAGTCCCACAGAAACCTCCCCCCCTGAGCCTTCAGGGCCTGATAATTTGGGAATGATCCAATCAGTGCCTGTTGACATAAGCAAATCTGCCCCCATATCTTGGTTGTCATTTCAGTTTTCTGTTTGCCATTGCAAAAGGAGGATAAAGTAAAAAGATCTACTATAAGTGAGTTAATTCCTCTGTAGATGGACATATAGGCTGCTTCCAAGACTTAGCTATTATCAATTGTGCTGCTATAAACATAGGAATGCACAGATCACCGTGATATATTTATCTGTCTTGGGAAGGTACCCAGAAGAAGAACAGCTGGGTCAAATCAAATTCTTATTGTTAGTTTTCTGAGGAATCTCCATAATGATTTTCAGAGGGGTTTTACTTGTTTACATTCATGGAAGTGTCCTACATGTCCATCATAGGCAAATGAATAAGAAAATGTGATATATATATACACAATGGAGTACTACTCAGATGTCAAGGATAAACTTGATTCATCAGTAGGAAAATGATGTACGTGGAGACCATAACGCTGAGTGAACTAAATCAGACCCAGGTTGTTAAACATTGCATGGTTTCTCTTACATGAAAAACCCAAATGTAAGTAATTTAAGTAGCAAAATAAAAGACAGATGATAAGAATTTGGGAGGTAGAATTTGGGAGGTGGGAATGGGATCTGGGAGGAATGGTAGGGGGAGGGGAAGTAAAAAGGATTAAGATGTGAAATAAATAAATATATAGATACATACATACATACATACATACATATGCTAATTCCCTAAGATTAATGTAATTGTTATGCTTTCTAAACATATACTATTAAAAGGAAAACATAAATTCTCTGGAATTTTCTGTACAGGTTCCTGAAACCATGATCTATATCTATGTATTCAACCAAATATGAACCAAAGACATTCAGAGAAAAGAAATAACTATATGACTATAAAAAGTGAGGCAAATAAAAGCAATACAGTGTATTGCATAAACAACTATTTACAGGCTCACACTGTGTTGGGGGCCCCGAGTAGTTTAGGAATGATTTCAATTTTACAGGCAGGTATACGTGAGTCATATTGACAGGTGCAGAGATTCTAATGCATAGCATGGTGACTGTGTGTTGATGCTATGTTCCTTTTTTACTTGAATTGGATATGTTAGTATTAATTTCACTCTGTTGCTGAGAACACAATATATATTCTACTAATGCATCACATTGCACGCCTCAATTATGTATAAATTTTGTCAGCAAAATACTTTAAGTAACATAAATATATAAAGCATTTATTAAATGACCTTATTTACTACATCTAAAGACAAATGACATTAAGATGTTGATAATGCTGTCAGTTTGAAGAAGGAGGCCAGCACCTCTATGTAGAATATTAAGCTGGTGAATTCCTAGAAACGGATGATGTAATGATGGTGGTGAAATGTCAAGGGTGAGAAAACCAGAGAGACGTTGGCCAAAGAGTGTGAACTTTCAGTTGTAAGTTGAATGAGTACGATGTCGTCATTATACTTCAGGACAATGACGCTGGGTCTGACTTAGTTCACTCAGTGTTATAGTCTCCAAGTACATCATTTTTCTACTGATGAATCAATAATGTGTCAAATTCTGAAAATTTGCTAAAACAGTAGATCTTAAAAATTCTCACTACACACACACAGTGATTATATGAATTAATACAAATATTAATTAACTTGATTGTGGTAATTATTACATGATACAGAGCTATATCAAAATGTCAAATTGAGGACCAGGATTATAGTGTGGCAACACAGTGTCTGCCTGGTAAGCACAAGATCCTGAGTTCAAGTCCCAGTACCAAGAAAAGTCACATTGATACGGTAAATATATATAATTTTATCTGTCAATTCCACCTCAATAAAGCTGGAAAAAACAAAGTAGCACTCTCAACTGATTACTCCATTATCAAACTTGATCAATTTAGTTCAACATTGCCTTTTAAATTAAAACCTTAATATAATTTATCAATTTATTTGGAATTACATAAAAGATTTAATGTAATCCCAGTCAAACGATGGATAGCATTCCTCAGAGAACTTGAAAAGAAAATGATCCTAAAATTAATTTAGAACCAGAAGAAATGCAGAATAGCAAAAGCAATCCCAGTAACAAGAACAAAGTAGGGCGCATCACAATCCCAGATTTCAAGTTATATTACACAGCTACAGTGATGAAAACAACATGGTACTGGCACAAAAATAGACATGTGGATCAGTGGAACAAAACAGAAGATACAGAAACAACCCCAGACATTCAGCCACCAGCTCTTTGGCAAAGAGGCAAAAGCGTTAGCTGGAGGAAAGACACTTTTGCACATGGTGTGGGGAAAACTGGCTATCCACACGGTGAAGGTTGAATCTAGACTCGCATCTCCCCTACTGAACTAAACTAAAATCAAAATGGGTCAAAGATCTAAATAGTAAAACAGAAACACAATACACTAGAAGTGAATAGATGTTAAACTCTTGGAGGTATAGGCATAAGCAAGGAGTTTTTGAATAGAACTCCAATCTCAGAGGAAATAATAAAAAGAATCAATAAATGAGAACATCCCAAATTAAAAACCATCTGCATAGCAGAGGAAACAGCAGCAGAGTGAAGAGACAAGCTTTCTACCAGAATGAGAAACAAATATTGCCAAAAGTTGGACGGGGCTGCCACCTGGATAATGTTTCTGCTCCTCGCTTAGTGCTCTGCATATTTTACACAAGTTATGGTAGATCTATGTATCTTCTTATTAATAATGTCAAAGCCAGGTATGGTGGTGAATGCTTGTAATTCCAGCACTTGGGAGGCTGAAGCAGGATGAGCATCATCAGTTTGAGGACAGCCTGGGCTACTTAGTGAGTTCAAGGCCAGCCTGAACTGCATAGTGAGACCCTGTCTCAAAACAAAATAAAACAAAACACAATATGAATACCTCCACAGTGTTAAGATATTTACTCTCAGAAATAAAATACTAAAACAGTGGTGAATTTAAAAAGAAAATTAGCAGTAAAAAAGTTGAAAAATTAATGAAAAAAGATGAGTCAGATAAAGCATGAATTAAACAGGACCTTTACACCTACATATGTCAATCCTAATATCCAAATATTTACATAGGCAGATATATAATTTGGACCCAAATGGGCACCCTGGGGGGAGACAATAGAATCACCCAGCTGTGAGACCATGAGCACAGCAATCTATCTTGCCTAAATTGAGAAGTTAAAAATCTTCATATGAGGATTTGAATGAACAATTATACATTAATTGTTTTCCTATTTGTTTGTTATTATATAAATTCCATAATAGTTTCCATTTTCAGAATGCATTTGGAGGAATTTTTTTTTTTAGAAATCTGGTTTGAATACAATCTTTAAATTTATTAAACTAATATTTACTAATATAAGACATACCCTAAGCATTAAGTTGCCCACTACAGATAAAGAGGCTATCAAAAATTATCAAATATTTATTTCAGAAATATTGGAGAATAAAGAACCCCTCGAAATAATATCACATTATCTAGAAAATTGTTCAGAATGATTCAAAGTGTGCTTTAACACTTAGAGTGTGCACGTCAGTGTTCACAGCACCCTGCGAGGCGAAGGCAGGAAGTGTACCAGTTGTGTCCAGCAGGAGAGACTTAGTGCCTTAGCGAATTTCTGGGTTTAGGATATAGCTCAGTGCAAAGGCCCCAGGTTCAATGCTTCCACCATAAAATAAAATTTAGAAAAAGAAGAATTTACAGTGCAAGTCATAGGGAGCAAATGGACATTTGAAAAAGGATTACAATAACTTTCTGAACTCTCCAACCCAGATCAGCCCCTGCATCTAAATGTATTTTGTATCTGTGGAGGTCGTAGGTGTTAAAGAGTCTGAAGTCATCCTTACCACTAGAACACTCCTATTTTGTGTCTCAAGACAATAAAGCTTCTACAAGAAAATCTAAAAACACTAGTTCTATTTATGACACATGTGAAGTATAAAACAGTCAACTACGAAGAAAAACAACCCACTTATAAATGAGAAAAAACTTAGAAACATTATAAAAGATGAGAAATCAGTTACCAAGTATATGGGAAAGTATCACAATTAGTTATTAGATAAAGATTAAATGCACAATAAGACACTACCTTTGCCACCTCCTACTTCTATTTAAAAATTAAGAAAAAACTTTCTATAACAGATACTGGCTCCGAGTGTGGTGGTGCACGCCTGTAATCCCAGCACTTGGGAGGCTGAGGCAGGAGAATTGTGAGTTAGAGGTCTGCCTGGGCTACATAGGTGAATTGGAGGCTAGCCTGAACTGTAAAGCAAAACCCTGTCTCAAAAAGACAAAAACAAACAAACAAACAAAAACACAACTATTAGTAAGGATGTAGAGAAAATCAAAGTTTCAAACACCCTGCTTCTTGATATAGTGCTATAGTAAATTATGGAAGCTGACAATTTCTTCAAAAGTTGAAGTTTATATAATCTAAGATCCAGCAATTGCACTTTTAGATCTGTAACAAAGAAAACATAATACACACATTAACAAGCATACTAGTGTGAGAGCCTGTATACTAGATTGTACATAATAACCCAAAACTCAAATATCTATCAGTACAAATATCTATCAGTACCAGTACAGGATGAGTGAAGAATCTAGGTATAATTATGCAGCGGAATATCAATGGAAAGGCAAACAAAACATGTATGAATTTCCAAAGTAATACCCTGAGTGGAGGGGCCAAGTCGCATAGTTGTTACATATCAGTGTGTACCAAGCTCAAGAACAGAAAAATTGAATAACCCATGGGTTAGGATCAGTGACTTGAGGATAGTAAAATGCTGTTGGGGGAAATAAGGTCCCAGGAAAGTACCTCAGGGTGATGTGGCCTAAGGTGTGAAAGGCATAAAGCATGAAGGAATTTTCTTTGTGTTGAGATGCTTCATGCCTTTATTTAGGTGTTAGGCAGTAAGTATAAGTGAAATATATTTTAATGATATTGTCTTATGCAATTTAAGTACATTTTTGATTGTAGGCAAACTTCCTCAATTTCTGCACATATGGAAGTCAATGTGGATCTTATTTTCCATTAAGGGGTACTGGGCATTATTTAAAGAAGTCTTTGCTCTGCTGAGGAATGGCGCGGTTGGGTGGTCATTGTAGTGATACATTGCATAGCAATGATTGCTCCGGGTTTGCCATTTTAAAGAACAGGCAACCATGTCACTAATTGAAAAATGAGGCTCTGATGAAAAATATTCTTCTTGGCCAGGGATTATAGCTCAGCAGCACAATGCCTGCCTGGCAAGCACAAGGTCCTGAGTTCAATTCCCGGTTCAAAAAAAAAATCTCCTTATTATCAACTATATGACCTTAAAGAACTTATGAGCTATGCATTTTCTGAATGTAAGAATAGTAATGTGCAGCAATATGGATGAAACAATAAAATTTAACAATACTGCTACATATTTTATCTGAGTCATAATATAAAAGAAAAACATCTCACATGATAGCAATAATGTCATTATCATTACACCATGACTGAAATGAAGTTAATATCAGATTTTCCACTGTTGCTTTGATAGTTGATGCTCTGTAACTGGATGAATGAATACCTTTAAATTATTTAGGTCTGTACAGCAGTGCAGAGATCATTTGTGTTGTTTTTCTCCTTTCCCTGAACTACGTCTATATTTGTCACTGGGGAATATGTAGGTGTTGCAGTCAATTAGCAGAAAAGTCAAGACAATTTTCTGCATCTCTCAGATGATTCAGACAGAATAATCAAATGAACTCTATGCTACTTCCTCTGGGAATATCACAGATAGAGAGTAAAACTATAAATTCTTCTACCTAAAGAAAAGCTGAGTAATTTTGGATATGAAAATGTGATTCTTCCTCCAAGGTAAGTGGGTGTAGCTGCCCTTGACTAATATCCTCACCAGGTATCCGGAATGTCCCACGACTCTGGCTTCTGACTTAGATAGTCTGACGTCGACTGATAGCAGATTCCTTCAAGTACACCATGAAAATTCAAATCGCTTTGTAGTTGTATGGTGTTTCTAAGGCATGAAATCTTATGCCTTGAACAAGCACCCTAGCCTGGTCTGACTTATAAGATTTGAAGATGAAAGGTTAGAAATCCCATGAAATTTTATCATTGATAATCCATTATACTTCATTTTTGGGTAAGTATTTCTCATACAATATTTTATGACCATCGAGTAATTGGTATTTAAGGAGATGACGTGCAAAGTGGGCAGGATTTGAGTTTTTTTTCCCCTAGTGTATTCCTCATTATTTTTTTTCTCTGTACTTTCTTTTTCGAGTGTGGATACAACAAGCAAATTGAGGCGAGTAGAATGACTTTTAAGAGTTACAGACCATACATCAATAATAATTATATCATCCTATCTTAAGTTTGAAAACTCAGTGGCCTCTCTGCAGTTTTTGTAATCCTCTCTTCTATTTGCTAAAACCAATGTGCAGATGCTTTAAACATGTATGTTGAGATACTCAGATCAGTTATGTTCTTTTCATCACAAGAACAAAAGACCAATCTCTCCCCATTTTGCCCAACTCTTATACCCTGAAAAAATGATTCTACTATCTACTTTTATGAATTTTACTTTTTAGGGTCTAAATGTAAGTGAGATCATACGGATTTTTAATTTTCTGGATCTGAGTTGTTTTGTTAAGCACAATGTACTCCAATTTAATTCATGTTGTTACAAGGAGCAGCATTTCCTTCTATTCATGACTATTATTCATAAGTACACAAAACTATGTGATAATGTGTGTATGTCATCACACTGCAAAGCTTCAATATATGCAGTTTTTCTATTATAACTCAATAAAGCTGAGAAAACTCATACTTCTCCAGACATATTAAAAGAGTGGAAAGGAAGAAAGAATCTAGACATATGAAGGAGGGAAAAATTGACATTGGAAACATAGATAAATTTAATAAATACTAGAAAAAATTTTAAGAAAGGTTTTGAAGATTTAAAAGTATAAGTTGGTCGAGTTACTCTAAACTTTGCTCAGTTCAATGCATTTCCAGTTACATAGTAAATCTCAATGATAGCCAATCCTGAAAACCTGCAACGCTAAGTTCAGTTTTTCAAAAGAGCTTAATTTGTGAGAGAAGAATGAACCAGAAAGGGACAGTTGAGTTCAACGCAGAAACATCAGCTTCCTGTAGGAAAAAGGGGTGGAATTTGATCAGCACTCAGCAGTTCTGTTCTCTTCTCTTCTCTCTACCTCTTGAGTCACACAGGCAAAATGAGTACAAACACAAAAAATATCAAGGAATACCCTGGAAGTGCTGTCTACTGCTCAAAGCGGCTCACAGGGCTTCAAACCATAGGCCCCTACCCTGTGGTGGGTGCCCAGGGGTTTCTCCTTGGAAGTTGTGCCAGCTAGGACTGGCATTGAATCAAGGATGAATCACACCACGGAAACTGAATTCACTGTGGAAGGAGTCTTTATCACTGAAATATTTGAAATCATGGCACTGTATTCTACTAATACAGAAATAAATTGCCAGAAACTTAGGATGCAATGTGTTCAATAAATATTTTTTAATTCTTCTACACCCAATCATCTTTACCATGTTACATTAGAGAGAAAAAAATGGATATAATTAAATAATCAAAAATTCAAGCTACCCATACTATTCAGCAGGAATAGATCCAAACTCCAGAACTGGGTGCCTAGAAGCTCATGCTAAGAAGGGTTTTTCTTTTAGAAATGAAAAGAAATTGAAATAAAATTACTTGTGCAAGTTGAGATGCTATTGTGAATATTTATACAGAGTGGTAAGAGTATTCTAAAATCTCAATCCTAGATAAATTCATCGTAAATCATTTAAATGCAAGATTTTTATTTATAAAATTTCAGACAGAATTTGGCACACTGTGTAGAAGCAGGGTTCTAAGAGATATTTCTGAACCAAGATAGATATGATTATTAAACAATAAATGCTACAGATGCTACACTATATAAATGTGTACATTAAACATCATGTAAGTGTTGTCCAATCCATTCGCCCTTCGCTGGGCCCCACACCTGCTCACAGACACACCAATGAACCCCTGTATTTATAGAAGTGTGATTGGCTGGGAATTACCAAGAAAAAGAACGCAGAATTAACTGATCATTGTTAAAATATATCTTTTTTAGAACTTTTACAAAAATAATTTACATCTCGAAAATTGTTTAAGCCTCTTCAAGACTTGGGTGAGAAATTAAGTGACACTAAAACTTAAGATTTAAATTTATGTTGCTGCTGCCCGTGTCTTTGCCAATAACAAAATTCTGTAAGAACTCTCAAAAAAATTGAGTGTACAAAAGAAAAACTGTGATATCTTTCTTAAAGTGGAATCATCTAATATTCTGTATTAATAAGCACATGGTTTTGTTATAACTGGAAATGCTGCAAATATTTTGGACCCTAATATCTATAGTTCAATCTGTGATGGACCAAGAGTATGTCACCCATAAAAATGCCTCTTTTTAGTTCAATACTCTGTCTTTCATTTTATTTTCAAAATCAAATACAGAAATAATTTTTCAGTATCTTATTATTAAGGATATTTTTCACTCATTAATAAACATTATAGTAAATTTTGGGGTAGCAATTATGAAAGTTTACAATACATCCACTTTTTCCTCAGAAATTAAAACAGGGTCCATGGGCCAGAAGAACCTAACAACGCCACCTGTCTTCATCCTGCTGGGACTCACAAGGTTCCCAGAGCTGCAGCTCCCCCTTTTTGGTGTCTTTCTTTCCATCTATGGAATCACAGCGGTGGGCAACCTGGGCATGATCGCTCTGACCCAGCTGGACTCCCATCTGCACACACCGATGTATTTTTTTATCAGACACCTGGCTTTCATTGATCTTGGCAATGCTACTGTCATTTGTCCCAAGATGCTGATCAATTTTGTTGTGGATCAAAATACCATTTCCTATCATGCGTGTGCCACACAGTTGGGCTTCTTGCTCATGTTCATCATCAGTGAATTTTTCATCTTGTCAGCCATGGCCTACGACCGCTATGTGGCCATCTGTCACCCTCTGCTCTACAGCGTCATCATGTCCCAGAGACGCTGTCGTGTGCTGGTGGGCGTTCCGTACCTCTACAGCACCTCTCTGTCTCTGATGTTCACCATTAAGATCTTTACACTGCACTTCTGTGGCTCTAATGTCATCAGTCATTTCTATTGTGATGATGTCCCCTTATTACCCATGCTCTGCTCCAACCCACAGGAAATACAATTGTTGATCATATTCTTTTCAGCATTCAACTTGATCTCTTCCCTCCTGGTTGTTCTCTTATCCTACGTGCTGATTCTCTTAGCCATATGTCGGATGCGTTCTGCCGAGGGAAGGAAGAAAGCTTTCTCCACGTGCGGCTCCCACCTGACAGTGGTGGTGGTCTTCTACGGGTCTCTACTCTTTATGTACTTGCAACCTGAATCTGCTCACTCCTTTGAGACTGATAAAATTGCCTCTGTCTTCTACACTTTAGTGATCCCCATGCTGAACCCCTTGATCTACAGCTTTAGGAACAAAGAGGTAAAAAATGCCTTCCACAGGGTCTTCAAGAATCAGTGCAAGCTTTTTAATGAATAAACAATAATAAAATATGATACAGACAAGTATCATTTTATAACCTTTCCTTGGTTTTGTATGTATTCATTATTTTGAGAATATGTATATACTACAAGCTGATGAATAGCTTTCAGGGCATTAAGATATTCATCATCTTATATAGTTACTTTTCACTTCATTTTTTCTTTTTTATTTGCATTCTGCCCTATTCTCTCTTTTCTGTGGCAAGAGTCCCTGAAATTTAATCTCATAGCAAATTTGTAGCATAGTGTTCTACATTATTAGCTACAGTTCTCATCTGTGCTACAATGCATGTCTACACCCTCTGTTCTACATCAGTGTCACTGTCTATCCTTCAGCCCGTATCTCTCCTTCCCTCTGACCCACCTCTGCAATCAGCATACTACTCTCTGTTTCCATCTGTTCATGGGTTATATTTGTTTTATTCCATATAAATGTGAATTATGTGGGTCATGCACTATTTTTCTTCCTGTATTTTATTTCACTCAGCATAACATTCTATAGTTTCATCCATGTTGTCAAAAATGGCAAGATTTGCTTCTCTATTAAAGCTGAATAATATCTCAGTGTATACTGTGAATGATTATTACTTTGTATGCATTATTGTACTATACAATGAAATATATCATAATATGATATATGTACATGCATATGTATGTGTGTGTATACATCTCAAACAATTTATCCATTCATCTTCTGATAGAACTTTGTTCTGAGATCTAGGCTATTGTGAGAAGCACTGCAGTGAACATGGGAGTGAAAGTACCTGAATGGAATGATGAATTCGCTTTTCAAAGGCATGTACCTCAGGAAAGGGTTGTTATATCATGTAATACTTCATTTCTAGTATATGTAGTGTCCTCTATAGAGTTTGGCCCAATGATTGCACCAATCTACATTCCCACTAACAAGGTAGAGAATTTCCCATAATGCACATTCTCACCAATATTTGTTTTCTCTTTTTTATAATAACCATCTTTATATATGAGACAAACCCAATTTGCTCATGACCTATAATGAAATTGGTTTTCCTCTACTTGATTGACAGTTTCTATTTTATGTTTTCATTAGAGATACCATCTTGAAATTCTGTTTTTCTTCTGGAATCTTTAAGTGCAAGATTGTCCTCACAAAATGTGTTTATAGGATTCTTCCTGCTTGTAATTTATGAGAGTGTTTAAGAAAGAATCAAAATTAGTTGCTGTCTGAGTGTTTAATAGAATTCAAGTGTAATGCCGTTTGGTCTTGGACTTCACTCTGTTGGGAGCTGTCTAATTCCTGCTTCAAACTCTTCATCTGAGGAGTCCTAGTTCTATCTACCCACAGGAGATTTATTCTTTGTCGGGGATATATTGCTAGGAATTTGTCCATATCCTCTTGATTAGCCAGTTGTTATCAACTTACACATGTTCAGAAAAATCCTTCATGATTCTTCTAACTTGAGGCATCATGCTTCCAATTTCATTTATCATTTTATTTAAGTGTTCTCTCTTACTCTAAGAGTTTTCAATTTTCTTTTCAAAAACTCAGTATATATTTTATCAACTTAAATGTGTTGGGTTTTTTTTTCCCACTACTGGGAGGTTGAATCCATGGACTTCACACTGGGCCACATCTCAAGCTCTATTTTTGTTTTTGTTTTTGTTTTTTGTATTTCTTACTACTTTGTCAGGAATGATTCTTTCTGGGAGTGAATTTGTAGGAAACTTGAAGCTGCCCTGGTGCTTCAACCCTGTTTCAATGCTAGAGTTCATGATAGCAATTTTCCTCATGGATGGATGAGGATAGAGTCAAACTCATTCAGAAAGTACATTAAAATAAGATTATCGTCTTCCATTCTGCACAACCTCATGTTTTCCTCCCCTAAAAATGTCTATACGGAGCTCTAAATGTGTCTTTTTGTTGTCCATGCCTTCTCCTTATAATTAGCTTGAGAGAACTGTTCTTACTCTCAGAGTTTGCTTCCTCTTAACAGCTCTGAATCTCCAGCATGCTAATATACACACACACACATAAAAAAAATACTGTTTCAAAATATTTTACTGTCTAGTTTCTCATCATCAACTCACATCCAAAGCATAAGCACCATGTCTTTCTGGGCAAAATGTCACTCTTCTTAACAAGTACCCATACGCACGATGCTCCTCTATGGATGTCTGCTTTACAAGCGCTGTCTCTGACCAGATCTTCCTCCAAAACAGATGGGGTTGTGTGATGGGCTAACAATGTACACGATGCTGATGCAGATCATCCTTTATCTCTGCTCTTCACATGGTCTCAGTGGTGATGGTCACAGCCCAGGACATCCCCTTCTCATTCAGGGGCCCATTCACTTCCTTTGGCACTAAAGAGTTCCAAGTCCTAACTAAAGAAATAACTGATTTCTGCCTAGTGAAATATTTCTCCTGTATGGCCACATAACTGTACACAGCTCCTGTGGGTGGACAGCTAGGCTGAATCCACGTCCACAGCTCAGGATAAGGGAGAGAGATTAGCGTGCTAGAGACACAGCATGAGGCTTAAGCCTTCCTGACACTCCCCTGGTGAGTTGAGTGAGATAAATAGCAGGAAACAAGGGCATGACACAGGCCTCTAGCAGTGTGTGTGTCATGTGAATGTGTGTCATACAACTCACATCCAAGAAGGTCATTCACATAGAAGACTGGGAATCAGCATCCGTGGAACAAAGAGGAAGACAACTGCTGTGTGCTCTCTGGGAAGACGCAAAGGTAGGAAGAACCATCTGCCCCTCAGCCCTTGCTTTGTCTCCGCAAATGTGACCAGACAGGGGATGCAGAGGCCTGGTCTGTGGGGAGGGGACCAGGGCAAATGAGCTGGAGGAAACCGAGGAATGGAAATCACCTTGCCTGTCACCTTGCTGCATGTGAGTCTTCTGTTCATCTGGAGCCTAAGGGGAAAGCGCCCAGTCTTACGCAGGAGACTGTCTGCTTCAGGATCAGTAACGCTGTGTGCACACTGATGAGACGAGGTGAAACCATCTCAGTTTCATTTGCAGCGACACCGTGGGAGATGTGGGAATGAGCATAAAGGAAAAACCCAGCCTGCGCTACGCAAACAAGGAGAAGTTAAATTGACCCAGCCCCAGAGCCCACAACTCCCTGTGTTCAGGTGATGGCACTGAGTGTGGGAGACCTTTGAAAACGGATCTACACAGAGCAGGGCTCTTTCCTGATCTCCCAGCAATGGCTGGACGCCAGGGGCAGACGCAGCCCGGGGACTGGCCATCAACTCTCCAGAGAGTGAGAACGTCCTGCACCCAGACCAGCTGCAGAAGACTCCGCTGCCCTTCATGAAGGGGCAGCACCAGGCCCTCGGCATGAGTGGGCCTAAGACGCCAGCACAGGCCTGCGGCCTGCAGTCCCCTCATGGGACTGGTATGACCAGAAAACTGGGGTCTGCAGATCACCAATCTGTCCTGTCTTGTCCTAAATTAAACTTAGGACCTCAGTAAATGGACAGTGGAATGGAGCTATCAATAATCAAAGAAAACCTCATCGTCTTTATTTAAGTAGAGCATATAAGATCACATACTTTTTAAAACTAGCAAGAGTTGTGTTTTAGATTAAGAACAATTTTGATTAGGAAAAGTCTTGATGTGTGGACTTATCCTTGGAGTTGTCCCCTGTTTGGAGTTTTGAAGGTGTGCTAAAATAAATGGGTTAAGGAGTTGGGAAATTTCTTTCCTCTTAGAAGCTGCATCTCCTCAAAGGAAGCTCTTACCTTCCAGGTGGCCCAGATTCTCAATGGATTGACAATGCTGTTCCTCGGGGTGACAGTGGCCCCTTTTATTTCCACTGAAGTGAGGCTTCCCCCTCTGACTGGAATTCGCTACCACCTGTGGGCACCTTTCCCTGTGAGTATCAGTGATGGTTCATCTGCCTCCAATCTCAGCTGTCTGCAGACACCTGCACCCTCTCCCTGGGAATCCCGTGCAGTTCTCTCCGGATCCTGAGTGTGGACCGACTATTTGGTGGATGATATTGGTGGGAGAGTGGAGGGACCTTGGGAACTGTGTACGGACCAGAGGCAAAGGCCGGCTCTGATGGCTTCTCTCTTTGATCAGTTCTTCATCTCTGGAGTGCTGTCCATTGCTGCTGGAACGAAAACCACCAAGGGCCTCCTAAGTGTCTCAGTGCAGATGGTCTGAGGACTGTAGTGAAAGGGGGCTTGTCCAGTCACTGGGCTAGGGGACATGGACCCCACTGGCCACTCGTGGAAAGATTGTGGAGTCATTCCACCACTTAAGAAAGAACACCCGTCTCTCTGAGCGCTCTGTGATACTGCATGTGAAATGTGCTCCCACATTAGTCTGGGGGAGTCAAACCTGTCTTCTAGCAGCTCTGGGTCCTCTTTCACCTTCAGAGCAGGGAAGCTCCCCTTGGAAAATCCAGGCTCAGCTCGGCTGAGGTGAACGCCATTTTCTGACCATTCGCACACAGGAAGAGAGTGAGATTACAGACTTTTTATATTCTTTCTCTCACCTGCTTTTCAGATCGTTGGAAGCCTGGCAATGAATACCCTCAGTTCTACTGTAGCAGGGGTTGGAGTCTGTGTACAACTTTTTGACCTCATGCTATGGGATCCATATACCTCTATGCCATGTGCTTATCAGTACTCCGGATGCATTATTCTTGCTAGAGTAAGTATTTCTTCTTCCAGTGATAGAAGCTTGCAAATCGATTTGCCATCCGTGGTGGTCATTATGAATTCAGACCAGGAACTTCATTAGGAGCCGTTGGCCTAGGGTTACTGAGCAGTCTCCAGAAATTACACGTCAGGGCGCTTAGGACCTTACAGGGACACTGAGAAGAGAGTTAAGTTTCCAAATCCTCTTCTACCCTGAGTGCCCCACTGTGAGGTTATTTAGTAGAAACAGCTGCAAAAAGTAAAGTTCTCCCAGCAGCACTCATTTGGTGAATCTAACGTCTTGTGGAAGGGGAACAGGCAAACCGGCAGGTGCAGGAACTCCATGGTGTGCA